CTGTAAGAGGGCCTGCGTAATTAGATGCTGAAACAACTAGCAGCACCGTCCTCCACTACATACACACAATGACAAGCCACGGAATACTTCTCAACTTCATAGCTTCCAACGTAGAGCTTCAGGTTCAGCTATATTCGCAAAGCTAATCGAGAACGCTTGCTGCAGGAACCTGCCAAAGCTCATGCCTACTTACAACAACTGCAGGATTCGGCAAAAGCCTTAGGACTAAGAGGTTGCCTGGAATCCTAAAAATGCCCCGGGCCTCAATCCTAAAATCCTCCAAGCTCATTCTGTTTTCTGCAAGGCCACATCTTTCTTCAGCGCTCTTCGCCTCAGAGCTCTGCATTGCAGGGATTTATGCACACCATGTTGAATTATGGTTAGGCTTTCGAAGTCTCAGAAGCACAACTCATGCACGGGTTCGGGTGTAGGTGCAGAGAATCAATCTCTGGCGCTTATCTACATGAGGCTCCTACAAGACACCCAGAACCCATGGGCTTCAGGGAAGGCTGGCCGGCCTAAGCTCTAAACAGACAAGCTTGACCTCCCTACTTGAAGCCTCGTGGGATAGCTTTTTTAATCCCCTTAACTATCCTAAAATGGGGGAAGACGTTATATGTAGGATCAAAATCCTAATTGGAAATAGTTACTAAATCTCCTGGGCCTGCTGCACTGCCAACACTTCTTTGCAGACACGCCCAGCCTCTGCCACATCCAGTAGACTGTCCTTGGAACGAAAGACGGGACCAACATGTAAGGTCAAGATAGATGTGTTCCAGGTGTGCGGCTTTGCAACTTCCGGTACCAATCAAAAGGCTATTGCACGTAGGATCCCCAAAAACATACGCACGTGCGGGGTATCTGCCAAAGTGAAAATGACGCCTAGCACAGCACCAACTGGCTTGTCACATGAGCTAGGATATCATCCTCCTCATGAGTTTTTGATCAAGACGCGGAGCCCTAAACCCGAAAACTTGCATGCTGCGCACCTGTGCAGAGAGGCGGTTAGCTGCTGCCGTGGTGAGCAGCAGCCAGGGCAAACGGAAAATCGCCATGAGTACCATGGAGGACGGAGGGATGCAGAATCACAGTGATCATGAGGAACTGAAGGATCCCTAAACCCGATCAATTTGGCTAGTGATTTGGGATCTTGCATAGGGCGATTGCCTCAAGCCAAGCCGCAGGTTCAAGGACTGATTCCTTGTGCGGGCTCAAAATCCTGAGGAGTTTGGTCATGTGTGGTAATCTCTGAGAGTTTGGTAGATTATGGTAGATTGCGAGTTTTAACCTTTTGGCAGACAACAATCTCTGCTTGGGCCGACAGGGGTCAAAGCAAAGTTGCGTGGCGCCTGTGTGAGAACCACCTCAGCAACGAAATCCCGGGAACGCCTGGTGATCTTGAGGAATGGGCCTGGACCAAGTGGAAGCAACAACCAGAGTTCATTATGAGCGGGCAGTATCATTGGAATCTTACTGATAATCGTGACTAGCGGCAGCCCATATATCTCAGGCTACACAACCCGGAGTGAGAACAGAGCTGCATTTGACGCTGCAACTGTACTACTGCAATCAGCACAATGTAAGACTTTCAGAAAGGCCAGGGTACTGCTGGCTGGGCCGCGCGTTAGTAGCACAAGGCAGCCATAGACTGTTAAGCACCAAGTCATGCTGTTCTTGTGTAGGTCGGGTTGAAAGCTCGCCACTTCCCGAACCCTGTCCAGTGGCTGCTGCTCCACTCCTGACATGGGCAGGTTTGCCGTCCTTATGGATCTGCTTACACCATGCAGCTGCAATCTGAACCCCCAAACTGCAACCTCAAACCAAAACCTGGGGCAGATTTAAGGGCCTTACAAAAAAAAAAAGCCTTAGGGCTCTATGTGGAATATGTCGGGGTTGTGGAGTGAAAGGTACAAGTCAATCCCAGGAATACCCCGGTCGACTACATAAACCTCTGCAGGCCAAACCCTGGCTTGCACTGTGAAGTTTCAATTAAGCATGCCAAACCTGTTTTCTTGGAAAACTTGCCTATTACTATCGTTTTTTATTGTGATTTGTATTGTGTATTGATACTAATACTATTTCTATGTTTATCTGGGCCTTCCAAGCTCTTAGCCACGAACCCTACCCTTGCCGCAATCCCTTCAAGCTATGAAGATCCCATCCCTGTTCACACTTCTTTTCAGGATATGCCAGCAGATGCGTCCCAAGTAGACGTGCCGCATACAACCGGCGTCAAGAGTGTGAAGAAGGCTTCAGGTTTCTGGGCGTTCGGAAATCTAAATCTGGGTGGAAAAGAAGATGGAAAAATCAAATGGAAAATGAAATGGAAACTGGTATTACACGGTGGTGTACGCCAACTAGGGAAGAAGGGCCCTAGGTTTATCAATTTCTTTTGGCCTTATGCGGGTTTTACAGAGATTATGGTCCATAGCATTCGTTATTCCAAGGAATAACTTTCTGGGCTGAAGTCTTCACATCCAAGCTATGCTCCGGCTCTAACTCGTGAAAACAAAAAGGTCAAAAAAACATACGACTCGCCACCTTTGTCGAAGCCTGCCCATCTTTACCTGCAACCAGCATGTAGCCCTCAAATCGAGAGCCCGTGTCAGGTATCGCCGGCACTGCATCGAGGGGCCAATTCTTTGGAATCTCCACCTCTGTATGTACTGTATGTACATGGGTGTCCGCAACATCTGATCAAAAGGTGTTGCGATTCCCTCCCCCACACACACTGCATCTGCAGGAAGACAGTCGGACCCATGCTTTTGCCACGGAAAGCACTTTTTCAGAACGGTGCAGCCCATAAGATGACAACTACTTTTGGGGCTTGCTTGCCACTAGCATGCAATTACCTTGGTCCAAGAACTCGAACCCTGGGGTCAGGGGGACTTAGTAGGTAAATTAGTAACAGGGATAATTGCCATTATTACATGGCTTATAGGTAAAGCTTGCTGCTGCAGCGATCACCTGTGTTAGCTTGTGCCTACCTGCCCAGGGCAGAAACGAAAAGCTGTTGAACATGTTGAAGCAAACTAGGTACAAGGCTAGAAGAGGCCACCTGAAGGGCATCGACAGCCTTCATCACTGCTGGAATGCAAGAACGGAATCTTTGGACTGCCTGAATCTTCTACAAGTTGGAATCAGAATGCATCACTGCAGAAGCATTGTTTGGAACCTGCACAGAACCTGCTCAACCCCTGCTTTGTGGCTATGGTGGGCTGCAGAACAACACTTGAAATCTTTCCCAGCCCTGCATGTGTAGTTTTCTTATTGCCAGGGTCCCACTGACCTCCTTCTGACAGTGCGCCCCATACGGAGCTCACACGATGAACGTGCCTGTGCTTTCGAGCAATTTGGTAGCCTGAGGCAGCGCAGGAGTTGCGGATGGTGGATGTAGCTCTCGAAGGTTAAGTTTTGAAGATTGAGGGCTCATGCAGTCAAAAGGTTCAGGGCTTGCGGATTCAACATTCCAGGGTTCACTTGAGGCAGCTCAAATTCCATGACCTCAAGCTCGTCGTTGGCTGATTCTGCAGCACGTCATGAGTCAATGATGGAAAGCTGCTGATATCCTGAAGCACAAGCAGAAGCGTTGAGAGCATTCTCAATGAAAATCGTTGTCAACAGCTCCTTTGGCTATTGGGTATCGGATCGGGTGTCAAGGGCTGAGTGTCCAGGGACCCGCCAAACGGTTTGCGAGGAGATTGTGGGCTTGAGAATCATGGCTGTGAGCATCCTGCGCAGCAGTCATCCAGGAAAATGATTGAGGGGCGACACCCTTTGCCTGACCGCAGAAGGCTGGCTTGGCGTCCAGGGCCGGGTAGGAGCCCGCCGCCACACACTTCCTCACAAGTCTGACAGTGGAGCCAGGGTTAAGTCTGGATTCCAGGCTTCATGCCCATGCCGGCATACACCTGAAGCATTGAAGCTGAAGCAGCTCTTGGTACTCTGCAACACTGGATGCCAAGATATGCCTCACTGCCTTCAAACCAAGACAACCAAGCCTTTAACCCCCTTGCAACTCTTGAATTTTCTCCCCAGACCCATGACACTTGGCCGCTGGCTTGTCAGATCCTAGTAGGCTGTCGCACAAGCAGCCCTAAACCCCAAGACACAGGAAGGTCTATGACATTCAGAAAAACTGTCCAGCTGCTTTAGCTCCTAACTAGATTTTGCAGGCGTCTGTTGGTCAACGCTCGTGAGGCCCGGCGAGGCGTCCACCACCCAGCCAAGGCCGCGCGCGCCTTGGCTTTGGGGGTCTTGATGGTCCCAGATGGGACTTGGCCTAAACAACTGTTCCCAAACTGGAGGAAAATCATATTCGACCTGTATGATGATAGGAACCCCACTATAGGGCACCATAGTTCAGGAAATCCCCAAATGCAGGATGGATTCAGGGCTGGCTTCAAGTCCAGGAGTTGGCCTCTGGAGTCTGGAGAGTATAGAACTAAAGATACTTGATTCAAAATGACAACCCAGCACTTTTGTTTGCTACTATCATACCCAGCCATAGGTGAGATCAAGTGCCGTCCTGGATGGCATGAATTCAGAATACGTTGCGGAGTCGGGCCATCATCACAGTGAACTCCTGTGCCACTGACCATGGAAGATCACGAGAGCAGCTCGGCTAATGCCGCTCACGCAAACATGCAGGAACACTTTTCCTTGCAAGGGTCACTTTACACGCGCCATCCCTGGCCGCTGGCAGTCAGCCACACCTGCTCACCACTGGCAGCTCGAAAGGATTTGACCAGACACCTGTGCGCCCGCCAAACGTCTGTACAGAGGA